AAAAAAAAAAGTTGAATTTGACAAACACTGAACGTCAGTGAGTCGCAGTTGGCCACATCATTTTAAGTTAAATTTGAAGCACAAACAAGTGCCAAAGTTAAACTTCATTGAAACTTTTCGAAAAAAAAGTTTCTCATATGGTGCGCACTTTAATGGTGACACTGTATAATTCAGTAGGCAGTTCTTAAATTCATCGAGAGAAAAGAATGCGTTGTTATTGAAAAATGTGGGCGTAATTTGGTTTTTATCTCCTTAATCGTCAAAAAACGCCGTCATTTCATGGGACTCTTCAATCTTGAGAACGGAAAAAAGTCGCAGGGGGGCAAATCTAGTGAGTACGGTGGCTGTAGCATGATTACAGTGTTGTTTTTGGTCAAAAAATACGAACTAGCAATAACGAATGAACAGGTGCATTATCCTGATGCAAAAGCCGTGAATTGTTTTTCCACAATACTGGACGTATTGCTTCTTGCAAGCGGCGCCTAACTTCAAGATAATACTCCTTATTGACCGTACAACCATGGTGCGCTCGAACTGGGTGTGCTTATATGGTCTTGGCTTTTCTGAGCTCTTCCATTGGAACGATTAGACATGGATTTCGATGTCATAACCATATACCCATTGATGTTATTCAACAAGTCCTGAGCGATGCTCATGAGACGGTTTATTTGGCCAAAATTCAGCAATTTTGAAACGAACTTTGCTACCACACGCTTCATACCTAAAATTTACGAAAAAAATGCATGGCATGAGCCAACCGATATTCCAATATCCTCAGCAACTTCCCTAATAGTGATTCAACTATTCTTCATATCAACTCTCTTCACTTTTTCAACATCAACTATTGATGTGCTGAGACGTCCAGCATCGTCATTCACATCTTTTCGAACTTCTGTGAAAAACTTGTACCACTTGTAAACATTTTTCTGACTCAGAATACATTCACCGTATGCCACTGTCAACATTACATGTATTTTAGAGAACTTGATATCAATTTTCACACATAATTGAAGCAAATTCTCTGGTCCATTTTTTTTCGATATCAGAAAATCGACGAACACGCGAAATACTTCTAACTTGTATGCCTCTTGCTAATAAAGTAAACATCCTAAACAGCTGAAAATGTGAACATATATTCGAGACGAGTGTACCAACATGAAAAAATTAAAAAACCGCTTATCGAACGTACGTAGCTTGCGAACAGTAGCTTGAACAGTCCACGTATGTAAAATTGGTTGAAATTTGCTTGCCGTTAGTCTGAGCGGTGAGCTACCTTATTAGCTTTTATCTAAAACGCTTCCTAATCCCTTTTAGAAATAATAGAAGAATTCAATACACACTGTTCTTCTTTCATAGGGGTACAAAAAAGTCCGAGTTGACATATGTCTGTCTTTTAAGGATAGCTCACTTTATCCATTTTAATGTTTTAAATATAGGTTACATTCAGTGTAGTAATTCAACAGCTATTAAGATAGATACGATATTAATTATCATCCAATGAATACTTAAATTACCCCAACCATTGTTTTGTCTCCAGGTACATACATAAACTCACCTATTGCGGAATTGAAATTGATACTTTTGTTTGAGTGAAATTTATCCTAGTCCATTATCATAAGGAACAACATGGGGTACTCTGCTTGGCCTAGGGATTTGATATGAGATTGTGTGATATTTGGAATATAAACTTGAAAGTTTGAGAGGTTGATGAATCATTTTTTATGAACTTTTACCAATATTCGAATATTTCACAAAATTTCATAAAGCACTATCACACCATTCGAACCCCCTGATCGTTTCTGGGATGTTCCAGGTTATTCCCCAACGTTCCAGACTATTTTTGAATATTTCAGAGTAAAAAAATATGGCATCTACAGCAGCAACATCCATAACGGTTATAAATCACTTTTTTTCTCTCAGTTCATATATCATGCACTTTGTAGAATTTAATGAAATCATATGGTTTCGAAGACAAATAACTCATGACTTTTTCTCTTCTGGCCTTTTCTTTTTTTTTCCTTTGTTGCCTCTTATTCACTTTCTATCTGTTTACTGATTTGCACTTTTGCCCCTTTTGTAGCATTCCTTCTCTAACTTTTTCTGTCACTCTCTTTCCCTCTTTTTTTTTTATCTCTCTTTTCTGTGCACACTGCCACTGACTCATTTCGTTCTGTCACTCTGCTACTTCAGACAAACTTCACAAGTGTATCTAACGAGAAGATATAATCGACTTTTTCGGTGGTTCTCTCTAGGATATCTCTAATATTAACTGTGATGTTTCCCAGAGATCCATATTGTCTTTAATATTTTTTTATGTTTTAGATCAATAATATATTGGACAAACAATCTAAGAAGGCGAATGTGACGAAATCGGATATCATAATGTCGGAACACATAATTTTTTTAGTTGCGTAGATTAATTTGTTGGACGTTCAATAGCGATGGCTCGTGACGTAGCATACATTTGAATAGGTTATTTCATGCCGACTGAAAATGATAATATCTGAGCTACTCCAGTGGCGGTGGAGTTGAAGAGAACTGTGAAAAAAACTTCAGTGTTATTCAAATCTTTTTCAACTAAAGTACACTAAATATCTTATGTCAGCATAATAGTGTCAGCGCTCCACGTGCTTCAAAATGCCCAATTTGGAATATTTTTAATGTTAACAAAACAAAAAATCGCCCTCACTGAATGTTTGTGAGAGTGAAGATTGTCAGCATTGAGCTCACATCATGTTGATAATGCTGACTGACGCTGTTGCCAAATTGATACTACCTGTGAAACATGTGTTTCATATTTGAAAGTAGTTGTTTGGGATGTACTTTTTCATTCAATATGTATCTAAAAGGTACTTCTATGCATGCTTTACACACATTTGTGAAGAGTTCATATTGAAGTAAATTACTGTCTTAGAAAGTTTCTCAAATTTTTTGTACAATAATGGAGAATTAAAAAGCCAAAAAATTTTAAAGGATATTATTTGAATGGCACACTTCATTTTACGCAGAGCTTTATATCCCAGAAATGCGCGCCAAACTATAGTTACCAAGACTTATCAGAACTATTTTATTTGGAGAACGATTGAAATCCAATTTTCATGATGGCATCGCTCTTGAAGAGTTTTAATGATTTTCTTGTAGTGCATGTGCATCTCCATGAAAAATTTGCAATCCAAAAGTCTGCTGGCTGTCCATATATTCCGTAGAAGAAGCTATGAAAGCTTCGAAAAGTAATAAAGAATTATTAAAAATAAGTATAAATAATTTCAACTATCATTAGAGCCTAAGTTGTAATAAAATTTTACAAAGTTTCAATACTCGAATTTTTTATAATCGAAACAATGTTTTCACCAATGAGGTAATGTTTCAGTCAATGGTAACACTCAAAGAGTTGTTGAATCACGATCATAATTCGTTATTTTCAATGAATTTGAAAAGTTAGCTGCGAATTGTACAGTAGGAGCGTAGCCATTTCTGGACCGAGAGGTCTCAAGTTCGATCCCACAACCTACAGTTATTGTTGGACTGCCAATTGTCGTGAAACTCATTAGTTAGTTTAAAAAGCTAAACAGGAATCACAGGACATAATACCTTCAAGCACTTATAAGTCTGCAGTAATTCACCAAAAATCTATGTGATGAAATTGGCATATAGTTGAAGGAACTTTGTGCTTAAGCTGGAGGGCTGCGATAAATTTCAAATTATTGTTTCTAGGGATGAGTGTGCAGTGTTTCTCATTAAAACAATAATAACAATACCTTATTGTAAATTATTTTAAAACAGTTGACAAGTCCGAAAGATTATCTAATTTATTATTCAGGAATACTTTTGAAGCTATTGTATAAAGAATAAAGTATTGTTGAAAAACAAAAAACTCACCAATAACGTGCTTTCCTTCAAATTCGTAGACACGGATGCTTTCGACTCTCTGCTTGGTTACATTTTGTAATTGTGTACTGAGCTCGCTTTCAATAAACTGCCATCCATCATAGTGGAGGAAATGCATTCCATCTATAGTTGATGCAACCAAAAGGATATTTCCACTCTCCTACAAAAAAATAAATGAAATACCACAGCTGCACTCCTATTATATCCAAACAAATTGATGAAAATTGATGAAACTTGCGTTTGTTACTGAAACTGGGGCAGATATACTAGAGCTAAAATGGCAAGGTGGATCTCTCTGGACCTGTACGTTAAGGAGGTTGCGTTAATGGACATGTTACGATTGCGCACGGCTGGTGTAAACCTCGCCATAGGCTCAATTGAGGCTGAGCCTATGGCGAGAAGCGCTTAGGCGCTTATACAAAGGGCTCAAAAAACAAAGAAGGCTCAGGATGTGGAGTGTACTTCAGGTCACTTAGCCTAAGGATTAAGTGGGGAATGGGAAAAAATACCAGCGTATCAAACAGAACTGACTGGTATCTCAATCGCCACAAAAGAAATAACCAAAAAAGGAATTTCTGGCAAAAACATAACAATCTGCACAGACAAGCCCTATTAGCCTTGAATAGACAACGTGTTACCTCAGGATGGACGATAACCTAGAAGGACAACTCCTCGGGAGGATATACAATGGGTCACATGTGGCCTAATTGCTGTGTGCCTACACTCGCCCTCCCTACAAACAGAACTGGCTGGTATCTCAATCGCCACAAAAGAAATAACCAGAAAAGGAATTTCTGGCAAAATCATAACAATCTGCACAGACAAGCCCTATTAGCCTTGAATAGACAACGTGTTACCTCAGGGCTAGTACTAGAGTTCAACCAAGATTTAGCCTTGGTAAATAATAACATTATCCTGAGGTGGGTTAAAGGACACGACAGGAGTAAAGGTCATCGCATTACCTATTCTTCAGCGAAGGGAGCGGCTGGACTAAGAATTTCAGGACCCAGTGACACCTACGGCCTGATGACTTCGACAATTGCAGAACTAGCCAAACGTTACATCCCTAAAGAGATGGGATGGAATCAAAGAATGCAATCTTGCCAGGATCGCCCTGGTCGACCCCGGGAAGTTGGCGCCGAAGAAATATCTGGCGATGACTAGGAGAAATCTACGCTTCACAGTAGGATTTCTGACTGGCCACTGCCAGCCAAGGAAATACCTCCATAATATGGGGCTAGTGGACACACCTCTATGCAGGATGTGTGAACAGGAAGATGAAAGTGTCAGACATGTCCAATACGAGTGTCCGGAGTTATCATCAATAAGAGAATGTGTTTTCGGCGAGTCTTGGCCTACATCAGCCGATATAAAGGAGATGTCTCCTAGTGACCTGTTCACCTTCCTGGAAAGGACAGGATGGACGATAACCTAGAAGGACAACTCCTCGGGAGGATATACAATGGGTCACATGTGGCCTAATTGCTGTGTGCCTACACTCGCCCTCCCTACTCTACAGATACAGGAGCCGTGTTAGGAATCACACGTTAAAAGGTAAGACATCGTGAGTCCTTAGCTCGCACAAGTTTTTCAACTTCTGAGAGTTGTCGTTCGTATGGTTGAAATTTGAAAAAAATTGCACAAATTTTACATTTATTTTCAACATCAATGTTAAATCAATAACTTTGTTTTATAATTTTAGTTGAATTTTCTACATTCTTTACAAATGAAGGCATCGAGCTCAGTCTATTTTCTGTGATATAGCGCTGAGTGTACCGCTTTTGTGACCTCGGACATTTAAATTAGCTAATAATTATTGTCAGTTTGAATAACTTTTTCCATTTCGGCATAACACATTATGAAGTTTGTCAAATAGGAAATTTTTTTATTCTTTCAGATAATTGACATGGGCCTCAGAAATGTCAGTCATTGAAATACTTTCTTTAAACGTTTTCCCTTCAATTTAAATTCGATTCAATTCCGAAGTTGAATTCCTTACATAGGCCAGCTCCATTCATGATCGATTAATGAAATATCATTGAAACTCTACTTCAGCACTAATAATATTACCGACATGAATCACAATTATTTATCACATAATTTAATAAAAATAATTTCAAACGCCGGTGTTTCAATCAACAACAACAACATTGAAAACAAATCCCGAAAAGCTTCAGAAACGTCAATTGCTAGTGTAGGGTTTGAAAAAATAGAACTGAGTAAAGTAGCGATTCATTCAATAAACAGATATCTCCAGAAGTACGTTTTTAACCAGCTCTAAACACTTAGCAACTTCTTCAGGTGGTTTCAGAGATTTCGAATCATATTATATCATATTAGAAAATGGAAGTCCGAACTAGTGATATTCACTATGAACATTGTCAACCACTCTCAAACAAACGTTAATCCAGTAAGCACCCTCGAAAGCTTTCGAAAAAATCGTTGATCTTCAGATTCGTTATTTTGATGACTTCCAAATATTACCTACTTCTCAGTTAGGTTATCGACCCAATTATACAGTTGTGTACCAGCCCTATTGAAAGTAATAGAATTATATTGTCATACATAACACATTACGTGCTTTGGTTTTGATAGACTATTTCAAAGCATTCATTCAATCATCAGATTCTCCTAACTTCATTAAATTACCTAAGTCGAGTTTTGTGTGGCCGTGGTAGTGGACTGACGTGCCGATAACGTCCGTCCACAAAGAAGGTACGCGGGTGCCACGTGCTATCGCGGAGCTTCTATTTATATTGTGATTGTGTATTCTGCAAAGATATTAAAGTTTATGTGAAAGTTTAGGCTAAAATGTGAAGTGAGGGCTCCCTTCAGTCACGCCGGTATTCAGGCCGGGGTGGTTCGGATAACCACGTGAAAGAGGCCATGTATATGAATTTAAAAACTCGAAGGTCTCCCAAAGAGGAAGCGACTCAAAAAATATATGTGAAAAAATCAAAAGGTCTTCCTAGCAGAAGGCGCAAAAAAGTTAGACAAAAAAGGGGTAGCAGCATTGCTTCGAGCAAAACTGCTGCTCCTAGTTAGTCGTTTACAGTGTGTGATAACAAATAATCTGAAATCATATTTCTTTGCTTCACGTAATGGGGACCTCTCTTATTTTTTATCTGAACGTCTCAAATTCTAAACTGCCTTCACCTCCCCAATATACATTATTATGCTGACGAGAATACCAATAAAACTCGACAGACTTTCCATAGCCAATGGTTGCTGAAAACTTCATAATGCTCTGAAGTCCCTGGTGGATTTATCAAAAAATAGCAGAGTGTGTTACCGTTAAAATGCTTGTACTTATATTGGATCTCTCTACAGAAAGTTAGTCGGTAGAAAATTTAAACAAACTTAGGTGAAGCTCTTGTGCTATCGCATGCAAATTGTACTGACTTGGTGTATAGCCCCTATCTATTACAATCCGATATAAGAAGACTGCAAGTCTTGCAAAACGTAGCCCGAGGCTTATTACTGATACACAAAGACGGGATCATATATCTCATCTCCTACTCTATATAACCTTGGAATGATTGAACGTGGACAAACAGAATATTATAAATCAACTGAAACCAGGTTATCTTCAGAATAAAATCAATTTTTGAAGAGATGTTCATAATTCGAAGCTAAGATACATAAATGTGCTCACACCCCAAAGATCATCTCCTGGCACATACAATCAGTGGCTTTCAGTGTTACACTGTTGTTTCATAATTTACGCTTTCAATTTTTCTATTATAATGTCACTCACGTATGCGTTTTCAGTACTTTTCTTATAATACTTCTTATTTGTTGTCTTTTCGTACGTATGTTTATCTATGATTGCTCTCGAGTGTTGAGTAAGTACAATACTTGTTAATGAAATTTAACGTCTGCTGACTTATGTACCTATACACTAGAAAATAAACATTTCGAAATTACACCTCAGAATATTCATCTCTCCCAACTACCTACACCGTAGGTCCTGGTAAATGCCTTCCAGAAAACAACTACTTCACCGGCTAATACCACGCTGGATATTGAATTATATCTGACAGGCATTTATGCAACATACTTCACCAAGGTTAGACTCGCAGGACCATGCTGAAATTATTCATGTAGATCACCTGCAGACTGGTTTCGAGGTATTACCTCTAATTACTGCAGGAAAGATTTAACCCAAACAGCAAAGTGCTTGAAACTCGGTTAATTTCAACGCTGCTGTGCTGCATATGTGAAACTTCCATCTGAGAGGAATATTAACTACGTAGTACTACTAACTCGTAGTAACAGCTCCATCTCGTGAACAAAGACTGTATTGAGGAGAGATACCTACGTACTAGAAAATAAATATTTTGAAATAAAATATCGAAATATTTATGTCTCCCAACTACCTGCCGCATAGGATCTGGTCGGAAAACAACTATTTCCCTGGTTAAAACCGAGCTAGAAATTGAAATATATCCGGATAAGTATGTACCATAAATTTAACAAACGATTCTTTAGGTAATTTTAAGACGAAATGTTCACATAAACATGGGTCCGCAAATCCTTCGTTCTCAAGATACAGGGTGTTAAAATAAAAATTAAAAAAAAGTTATTCATAAATATCTTAAATATCCTTTACCTNAGAAGTTCATGATTACAATACGAGAAGAAATAACAATTTTTACATTAATAAAACTAACACTAAATTTGGAATGAATAGTATATTTCATAAAGGCTTAAACGAATTTAATAAACTACCACAATTTGTAAAAGAATCTAATTCAATAAACCAATTTAAGTCATCATTAAAGAAGTATATTAGTGACAGCTCATTATGATATTTGTAATTTTTTATTTTTTAATGTAAACTAACTTAACAATCTATAGATATGTATGTATATTTGGTTTTCCTTGAAAGGTACTTTAAAATGTTATTATATTTACATAGTTAATGTCGTGAGATATTTATGAATTTGTAATTTTTCTTTTTTTTGTATATTAGGCTTGCCTACTTAATAATGAATAATATAATATAACATTTCGTTTTGAAATTACCTAAAGAATCGTCTGTTAAATTTATGGTACATACATAATTAACACCCTGTATATCTCGTTCATCCAGCAGTAGGACCATGCTTTATGTATACATTTTATGTGTATATATTATTTGGATGGAAGATAAAGGTC